TAAATAACAACAAAAAAAGTCAGTTCATTCTGTTCTGAGTCCACTCCCTCTCAGACAGAGACAGAGACAGAGAGGCTGAGGTGGCTCCACTTTATCTCATACATCTGACTCTCACTCACACTCCTGCCCTTCTCCCCTCTCTCTCTGTCCTCTCTTCTTTCTCTCTCCACCGTCTCTCTCTTCTCTCTTTCTTGTCCTTTCTCCTGTCTCTTTCTTTCGCTCCCCCTTTCTCTTTCTTCTCTCTCTCCTGGCCGTTTCTCCTTTCTCTCTCTGTCTCCCCATCTCTTTCCTCTTTCTCTCTCCTCTCTTGTCCTCTCTCCTTTCTCTCTCTTTCTCTCCCCCTCTCTCTTTCGCCTGTCACCCCTCTCTACCCCCCCGTCTCTCTCTCTTTCTCTCCCCCTCTCTCTCTCTTGTCACTCCTTCTCTCTGTTTCTTTCCCTCTCTCCTTTCTCTCTCATTCTCTTGTTTTTCTCGCTTTCTCTCACCTCTCTTTCTCTTCTCACTCTCATGTCACTCCTCTCTATTTACTCCCTACTCTCTCTCTTGTCCTCTCTCCTTTCTCCCTCTGTCTCCCCCTTTCTCTTTCTCCTCTCTCTCCGTCCTGTCACTCCTTCTCTTTCTTCTTCAGTGACCTTCCCACAAATCCTCTTCATGGAGTATGGACGGCGTGGGTCAGTCAAGTCCCCCAAGCGGAGGCCGGTCTCCAGCAGACATGGTTTCTTGAACCCTGCCTAAGAGCCTCCCTGACCCGGGGAGCTCGGACTCGCAAACCTACGGACAGTGTTGGGGAGTAACAGATTACATGTACCGGAGTTACATAATCAGAGTACAAATTATGAGTAACTGTATTCAGTTACAGTTACTGTTTCAGTGAGTGGTAATTGGATTACAGTTACTTGGTTGAAATAAATGGATTACACTGCGGTATTTTCCTGTTTTCACATTTTGGGCTGTTCCCTTTTTTGTTGTTTTTTTGTTTATTTTTTGTTTGGTAATTCCACTCATTGCCGGACACTAAACCAGGTCTAAAACCAGGTCTAAACCAGGACTAAACCAGGTCTAAACCAGGACTAAACCAGGTCTAAACCAGGACTAAACCAGGACTAAACCAGGTCTAAACCAGGTCTAAAACAGGATTTAACAGGACTAAACCATGCAGTCTATCAATAATATTTTTAATACCGTTAAAGAAAGTCTGGTCTTTTTTAATGGGTCTTATTTTATTTATTATTTTTTATCTTATGTGAAGATTTCCTCATCTTTGCTACTCTACAGCAAATCAAGTAATCCAAAGTAATCAGATTACGTTACTCACTTTAAGTAATTTAATAGATTACGTTACAGACTACATTTTGGGGTATGTAATCTGTAATCTGTAGGGGAATACATTTTAAAAGTAACCTTCCCAACACTGTCTACGGAACCACACCAGAGTTAGTGCAGATCTGAGTGTGACTGATGCTTTTACACCAACAAAAACAAACTGAACTAAGAGCTTCTGGTTTGGATGGAACGTTTGGTGCAACTACTGTTAGTGTGAAAGCACATTTAAGAACCAAAGCACCAAATTATAACACGAACTACATGTGCAGTGTTTTTGTTTATAAGAATCAGCGTTAGTCGTGCTCAGTAAAAGCTGCATTTGACACATATCTTCCTTTAATGTTATTGTTCCTGTGGGAAGACCTGTTTCCTGAAATCATTAGCTTCAAAGCTGCTAATTTGATGCTTCCCATTTTAGTGTGAACGACCACCTCCCCCCCACACTGACCCACATTAAAGCTGCACTGTGTCACTTTTTTGTCAAATAATTTCCCTTGTGGATCAATAAAGTTTGTCTTAGGCTACGTTTATATGATGAGGGTCTGAACAGAAGACGCAAAAGTGGCGTTGCGTCTTCACTTTTAATTTCACGTTTAGATGAGCGTTTTCTGGAGGAAATCTGAGTGCATACGGTGACGCAAAAGTGTGTGGAATTCGACTGAGTTGCATGTACTTAAAGCAAAAAGGGCATCTCTGGACATACAGAAGTTTTCACACCAGGCATTTTCATCAGCTACTCCTACACAGTTGTTTCACCATCGACTGGTTCTCCAGGTCTCGTCCACAGTCGTCTGGCTCGCCTGCGACCAACTGGTGCATCCAGAATTTGACAGGTAATTGCAGATCCTTCTCTGTTCACTTATAGTGTCTCTACAGATTCTCTACATTTGTTGGGATGCCTCGTGTAAGTTTATTAGATTTTATTTAGAGTATATTTATTAAATGATCCGACATGGTTGTTTCTGTGTACTGTATGTATGTGACGTAAAAGCTTACACAACGTGAGCAAATCTGACCAGAGTTTTGTGTCTTGGCCAGTGTAGACGGAAACACTACAGTGGTGCGTATTCAGCTTTTCCACTCTGGAGGGTGTTTTCAGATTTTTGTGTTTTTAAGCCCTAAAAAACATCATCACCATCTAAACAAAAGGCACTTCTGATAAAATATTTGCAAGTGTTCTTGTGGCCCTAAGTCTCGTGAAGTTTCTCGTGAAGGGTCTGCTACCTGCTTGTCTAAATCAAGATGTTATCGCTTTGTCTGTTTCCTTAAAGACACACAGGTGGTACCACAAGTCACAGGTCAGATCTATGGAGCGGCGACCCCCCTCTCACAAATGAGCATGTATTTTAACAATATTAGCACCTGTGATTAAATGAATCCATGATATAGATACACAGACATGTTATTGTTTGGAGTAGAGTACATGTTCCACAGTATGGCATTACTGTGGAACATTTCAGAAGTCCATTTGAATGTAGTCTGGTCCATTTTGTGTGAACGCTTGTGTTAGCTCCTCACCCACGCTCAGGCAGAGGAGAGAGACGAGAATAGAAACAAGAGGAGAGGGAGAAGAGGAAGAGAAGACGAGAGAAAAAGAATCATTTGGATGATTTCAGCTCGGCCAATCTCTACTGAATTAAATGTAAAAGGAGCTACTCAAACATGTGCGAATGAAGCAAAACACAACTCCAGCTGTGTTTTTGGTGAGGTAACACAATTCTAACTTGAGTCCATTTCACGTAATATAGGACTTTGAACTTTGATCCACGCTTTCCAGGTATTTTAGATGACATCAGATGGATCATACACAGAGGAGGAAGGAAACGAATCAAACATTAAACTAAAAAATAAACAGACGATCAATGATTTACACACAAAAGTCAATGCAGTTTAATCGTAGCAGCCTGTACTTTTCCATTTTTCTTTTCTTTTTTTCCATTTTGGCTGCGTTTATTGCACTGAAAAACCTCAAAAAAACACGCATCTTACTCTCAGCGGGCTTGCATCTCCACAAATCTGACCCTTACTTCACCCGGAGAAGCTTGTTTCCATGGAAATATAGATTACTGTTCAGTTCTAATATCATATTGGTTTAGTCCTGGTTTGGATTTGGTGTAGTCCTGGTTCAGTTCCTGTTTAATCCTGATTTATATTTCCCGTAGTCCTGGTTTATTCCTAATCCTGGTTTAGATCTGGTGTAATCCTGTTGTAGTTCTGGATTAGATCTAATTTTGGCTATGGTTTATTATAAGTGTATTCCACTTCTGTAGTCCTGGTTTAGTTCCAGTCATCCTGTAATTTAGTTTTAGTCTAGTCCTGGTTTATAGTCCTGTAGTCCTGGTTTAGTTCCGGTGTAGTCCTGGTATAGTCCTATAGTTCTGGTTTAGTTCTAATTTAGTCCTGACTTATTATTGATGCTATTGGTGCTCAGAGTTTAGTCCTGGTTTAGTTCCGCTGTAGTCCGGGTTCATAGTTAAGTCCTGGTTTAGTTCCGCTGTAGTCCAGGCTCATAGCTTAGTCTTGGTTTAGTTCCACTCTGGTCCGGGTTCAGAGTTCAGTCCTGGTTTAGTTCCACTTTAGTCTGGGTTCATAGTTTAGTCTTTGGTTTAGTTCCGCTGTAGTCCAAGTTTAGTCCTGGTTCAGTTCCTCTGTAGTCTGTGCTCATAGTTTAGTCATAGTTCAGTCCTGGTTTAGTTCCGCTGTAGTCTGGGCTCATAGTTTAGTCATAGTTTAGTCCTGATTTAGTTCCGCTGTAGTCCGGGTTCACAGTTTAGTCCTGATTTAGTTCCACTTTAGTCTGGGTTCATAGTTTAGTCCTGGTTTACTTCCACTTTAGTCCAGGTTCAGAGTTTAGTCCTGGTTTAGTTCCACTGTAGTCCGGGTTCACAGCTTAGTCCTAATTTAGTTCTGCAGAAGTCTGAGCTCATAATTTAGTCCTGGTGTAGTCCGGTCTCATAGTTTAGTCCTGGTGTAGTCCGGTCTCATAGTTTAGTCCTGGTGTAGTCCGGTCTCATAGTTTAGTCCTGGTGTAGCCTGGGCTCATAGTTTAGTCCCGGTTTAGTTCTTGTGTAGTCCAGGGCTCACAGTTTAGTCCTGGTTTAGTCCCAGTATCAGTGAGATCTCGGAGCCCTGTCTGTGTGGTGTTTGGGCCTTGGAGAGGGCGCACACAGAACAGAATGTTTTGCCCTGAGTGAAGAATGCAACTCTGTAACTGAGCCTCTCATGTGACCTCGCTTCCTTCCTCTCCCCCCTCCTCCCCTTCCTCTCCTCCACCTCTCCTCTCCTTCCTCTCCCCCCCTCCCCTCCTCTATCACCCCCTCCGCTCCTTTTCCACTCCTCCTCTCCTCTCTGCTCTCATTCCTCTCCGCTCACTCGTCTGTCTCCCCCTCTCCCTTCTCCCCCCTCCAGTTCCTCTCTCCTGTGTTTGTTTGCTTCACTTGATCCGGAGCGGAAATTCCTCTCTCCTCTCTCTTTTCGCCCCCTCCGCCTCCCTCCCTCTCTCTTTCTCTCTCTCTCTCTCTCACTTCTTTTTTGTGAATGACAAACTCATTAACAATTCGCCCAGCCCCCCGTCTCCACAGCGACCTCGTCCGTGCGCGCCGCTGATTGGCCGAGCGCTTTGCCCGTGACCAATGGGGAGGCGATTGGAGAGAGACCATTCAGACGCACAGTGCCGCAAAGACCCGATTCACTGCGAAACCGCGGACACGAGAGGAGCTGTGCGCTATTACGCGTGGTTAACCTCTCCAAAACGGCACCAGAGCGCATTCGGATTGTCTACTGCGCATAAGAAGCACACGAGGCCGTTTATCGCTTGTACTTAGACATTTATGGAGCTATAAAAATCCAACGAGGGACGAGCCATTGAGAAAACTGCAGGATCCCATGAATGAGCGGCTCGGATCTCCTTTCGCAGCTCAAATCACTTCTAGCGCGGACTATTTTTGCTCAACACAACGAATAACATTGACTCTTCAGTTTTACGCATTGTATTTTTAATATTTTGCGTCGGGCCCTTGTCTCGTTGCATTGCTTCAGTGTCTGACGCGATCGCAGCGCAGACGCCGATCTTCTATGAATCATTTTTAACCCAAAACGTCCCGGATTCAAGACGCATTTACGCAGAATCCAACAGTGGCTCGCGATTTCTTTCTCAGCTGGATTTTTGTAACGTATTTTTGGACATTTGTACCAGATTACGTTTGTTGCTGGACTTCAGTGTTTTGTTTATGAATCAGTTTCCAGTCGTATAATATTGCAGTCGCTGTTTCTTTTCGTTCTTGAGAAGACCCACTCGCTCGCGCGTTCTTCACCATGTTGGACAAGCTGCGGCCCGCGGGTCAGATCGAGTCCTCGGTCGCACACGGGCGGACGGTCGCGTGGCTCCGGGAGCAGATGGACTCCCGTCGCGAGGGCCTGCTGCTCATGGACTGCAGGGCGCAAGAACTGTACGAGTCCTCTCACGTCCAGAGCGCGATCAACGTGGCCATTCCCAGTCTCATGCTCAGGCGGCTGAAGAAGGGAAACCTGCCCGTGCGCGCGCTGCTCTCCAACGGGGAGGACCGGGAGAAGTTCGTGCGCCGGTGCAAAACGGACACGATCGTTCTGTATGACGAGTACAGCCGCGAGTTTAACGAGAACACGGACGGTGGCTCGGTACTCGGGCTGCTGCTGAAGAGAATGAAAGATGAAGGATATAAGGCGTTTTATCTCGAAGGTGAGGCGAACTTTACGGTTATAAAGTAATTTTTTTTGGGGGGGGGGCACTTGTACTTTTGTTGCTTACTTGTGCTTGTAATTTAGTATGCAACGACTTAATTTTTCAAACATGTCATCTTAGTCTGCACATTTGGCATAAATAAATATAAATCCACGTGCACTGGGGCCTTATCAAGATGAACTTTGGTGCATTTTTGCTCAACAGGAAGCTACTTTGTGCAAACATTTCCATCCGCAGATAACTAGGACACTCAAACAATCAATGCTGCGAGATTAGCATCATTCATACGTTTTGTGGTATAACAGCCGGCAATGCATAATCTAGTATTTAGCTTATGCAGATGAACAACAAAATTATTCAATGCTATTTTCATATATTTTGTTTGGGCTGTATAGAAAGCCACAGTACTGAACATTTTAACTGAAAAGTAGACAACAGATTGGACTGATTGTTTATTGCATTAAAAAACATGTGTCCTTACTTTGAGTGGGCTTGCATTTCCACAAACCTGACTTTTACTCCGCTTTGCTGTTTCCATGGAAATGTTGCCTCATACAAGGAGAATGTTCCGAAGTATGGTTTTAACTTCATGATCAAAATCGCTAAATTTCAAACTTTATTAAATCTCAACAAAACAAAATACTTTTACTTTTTACCCTTTAAGTGCATTTTTAAACAGATACTTTAATACTTTTACTTTTTAGATGTTATTTCACTGACTGGAATGTTTCGCAGTATGGCTTTAAACCTTTCTGTCATCATGGAAACCAAACCAGACCAAGTTACAGGTCAGATCTGTGGAGAGGCGACCCCGCTCACAGTCAGAACGCCTGTTTTCTAGATGTTTTTGAGCTATAAAACCACCTGTAATTGAATAAAAATAACATAGATCTGTTTAATATCATACTGTGTAACATTCCAGGCAGAGCAAGTAACCAAAAAGTTACATAGTGATACTTTTACTTGAGTACATCTTCCATCACTGCATCTGAAACACAGCTCTTGGTTTTGTCATCGCAGGAGGCTTCAGTAAGTTCCACGCAGAGTACCCCTCCCTGTGCGAGACGAACTTGGAAGGCTGCCCTCCCTGTGGCTCTCCCCCGGCTCCCGTCCTGGGGCTCTGTGGGCTCCGGATCAGCTCGGACTCTTCGGACATCGAGTCTGACATAGACCCCAGCAGCGCCACAGACAGAGGTGGGTCCGGAAGGCAGTTTAAGGACACGTGGGACTGGATTGTGATGTGGATTATATCAGGAAACAGTACGATTTGGGTCTGTTTACATTCGGTTTTGGACCTGGTTTGGTTCTAGTTGGAGTTGTAATACAGATTATAGATTGGTCCTGTTCTAGTACTGGTTTAGTCCTGGTCTAGTCCCGGTTTAGTTCTGAGTTTAGTCCTGGTTTAGTCCTAGTCTATTCCACGTTTAGTTCTGACTTTAGTCCTGGTTTCGTCTTAGTCTAGTTCTGGTTTAGTTCTAAATTTAGTCCTTATTCTAGCCCTGGTTTAGTCCTAGACCAGTCCAGGTTTAGTTCTGAGTTTAGTCCTGTTTGCGTCCTAGTTGAATCTTGGTTTAGTTCTGAGTTTAGTCCTGGTTACGTCCCAGTCTAATCCTGGTTTAGTTCTGAGTTTAGTCCTTATTCTAGCCCTGGTTTAGTCCTAGTCTAGTCCTGGTTTAGTTCTAAATTTAGTCCTTATTCTAGCCCTGGTTTAGTCCTAGACCAGTCCAGGTTTAGTTCTGAGTTTAGTCCTGTTTGCCTCCTAGTCTAGTCCAAGTTTAGTTCTGAGTTTAGTCCTGGTTTGGCCCTAGTCTAGTCCAAGTTTAGTTTTGAGTTTAGTCCTGGTTTCATCCTAGCCTAGTCCTGGTTTAGTTCAGAGTTTAGTCCTTGGACCGTTATCACTAACAGAAATGACCTGGAAAAACATTTGCGAATTTAACTTTTTAGAATTTCCACAACACAACTAAATTTCTGCTCCTGTTTTTCCAGAATCCACAGACTGCAGTCCCTTATCCAACCCTCCCTCGTCATTCCCGGTGGAGATCCTGCCTCACCTCTACCTGGGCTGTGCCAAAGACGCCACAAACCTGGACGTTCTCGAGGAGCACGGCATCAAATACATCTTGAACGTGACGCCCAACTTGCCCAACCTGTTTGAGAACGCCGGCCAGTTCAAGTACAAGCAGATCCCCATCTCCGACCACTGGAGCCAAAACCTGTCCCAGTTCTTCCCCGAGGCCATCAGCTTCATCGGTGAGAGATTCAAAATATACTTCAGCTATTACATTTGAAATATTCCGCAGTATGGCATTAAAAAGCTCACATAATGCTCATTTCCGATCTATGTTATATATTTCCTCGTCGCAAACAGACCTGGAGTTGTGTTTTGTTTCATTCATACATTTTTAACACACAAACAGTTCTTCTCTCAAACTGAAAACACTCTGTTCCACCTTGTGATGTCACGTGGTAATACTCTGCTGTGTTTTTAAACTTCATACACCTACGCTAGAATCATTTGGACAATATCAGCCCTGGAATTGCCAATTTCTACTGAAGTAAATGTAAAAAGTAACTGTTAACATGAAAACTGCCACTTCATGACATCACAAGGTGGAACAGAGCATTTATGGAACAATAAATGACTACTCAGACATGTGTGAATGAAACAAAACACAACTCCGGGTATGTTTTTGAGGAGGTAACAACATTATATCACATCTTAAAGAGTAATTTTTGCATTTTAATTTGGTTAAATAAAAATAAAACATGCAAAATACCACTCAAATTAGTAAAACGTTTGATCAGCACCAAAATTCTGTGTTTATGTTCCCTAGTGAATAGTCTAGTCCTGGTTTAGTTCTGAGTTTAGTTCTTGTTCTAGCCCAGGTTTAGTCCTAGTCTAGTCCAAGTTTACTTCTGAGTTTAGTCCTGGTTTTATCCTAGTCTTGTCCTGGTTTAGTTCTGAGTTTAGTCCTGGTTTAGTCCTAATCTAGTTGAGGTTTAGTTCTGAGATTAGTCCTGGATTTGTTCTAGTCTAGTCCTGGTTTAGTTCTGAGTTTAGTCCTGGTTTTATCCTAGCCTGGTCCTGGTTTAGTTCCGAATTTAGTCCTGGTTTTATCCTAGTCTAGTCCTGGTTTAGTTCTGAGTTCAACAGCCCAGTGACTCATTAGCATTTTGACTTTAGCATTAAATTAGCGCAATCTAAATAGGAAAAGACACTGCGATGCTAAACACGCTAACAGACCAAGCTAGTGGAAAATGTAACTATTAAAATCTACTGCTACTATGTTAACACAAAATTCTGAAATGAAAACTTAAAACAGCTTTATCAAAAAGATACGCATGTTGTAATCTTATCAATGTAATACGGGTTATCTGTAACAGGAAGTTCTGATTATGCAATTCAGATTAGCCAAGTGAGCTGTCTATTCTAGTAACATTTTGTTGCAACCATTTATACAAGTATTTATTAACATTTCTGGCTGAAATTTTAACTGATAAATTAATCCTAGAATCCTGTGCATTTCAGATTTGATGTTTGTCGAGGTCTAAACTGTAGTTCGCAGTTTTTATGAAAGATGGAAACGCACGGGTTTAGTTATACCATGCCAAAACGACTGAAGTGGCTTTTATTTTTATTTTTTAATATTATTTATTTATTTACATTTATTTTTATATGTGTGAGTCGTGGCTGGAGGAACATTGGGGTAAAGTCTGTATAGTGGAGGAAGAAAGAGGAGATGAGGAGGAGGGCAAACCAAAATAACAGTGTCATATGAAGCCGACAGGAAGTCAATGAAAGTGACCCGGGACTGTAAACGGGCTAAAGACTTCCGAGCATGTTTTAGAAGGCAAAGAAACGAGAGATCATGATCGGAAAGACGACAAACCCGCGCGATTTTTACGGTCTTAAAAAAAAAAAACAGAACTAGTTTGCAGTGGTCCAAAATTATTCCTCGCTTACTTTTATGCAATCAGAGCATCCTGAATTATTCACCGTAATGAGTTTATGAGCACTTTTCGCAACTTTCACCGTAACGCTTACGACAACTAACGTGCTAAGGCATTACACCGTGGGCATATTTTGACCTCAAGAACTAGTTTTGAGTAATATAAAACATGTCTAACGGAATAATTCAAGATAGATATGTTTAATGCCATACTGTGGAACATTACTAGAAAAACAATAACATCTTAATGAGTCAAGGTACACTGTGCACAAAAAACAAAACAGAAACAAAACTAAACTAAATCACTTTTGAAATTTGTCAGAAAACACTTGGGATGTTCTATTCCAGTTTTACAATAATTTTATGTTGTTGTGCCATTAGCAAGACGACTATACTTTTCAGTTTTTCAAAATCAAAATTGTACGTGTAAAAAAATAAATAAAATAAAATTCCTTTTTAGAGTTGAAAAGTAGTTCTCATATTCTCTATGTCTGGAATGTTTCACAGTATTGCATTAAACTTTTCTATTACCATGGCGACCAAACCAAGCTTACAGGTCAGATCTGTTGAGAGGCGACCCCACTCACAGTCACAATGCTGTTTTTTGTAGGTCATTTTGAGCTTTAAATCAACCTGTAATTGAATACATGTAAAGCAGAGGAGTTTAATGTTATACTGTGGAACATTCCAGGCAAAGTTAAGACTTTTTTGCATATTATCGGCAGTTCCCGTCATAAAATGTGATCTTAGACGTGATCATACGAGCGTGTTTCCGTCCCTCCCTCTGGCCCCTCTCTCTGTCTGTTTAAATGGTTGTGTAATCTTTAACAAAAGCCAGTGTGGAAACTCGAAACCCTCCGTGCGCCGGTGAAAAGAGCTAGAGCCACACGTCCGGTGGAGGGAGGGAGCGAGGGAGGGGGGAAAGAGAGAATGAGAGGGTAAGAGAGAGGGAAAGAGAAGAGAGAGAAGGCTGCAGAAGGCTTAATAGGAAGACGAGCAGAAGAGGGGAAAGGAGAGAGAGAAAGAGGGAAGAGGAGGAGAGAGGGAGACAGAGAGGAGGGAGAAAGAGGGAGACAGAGAGAAGAGAAGAAGTGAAAAAGAGAGAAAAATGGGGAAGAAGAGAGAAAGGAGGGAGGAAGAGAGAGAGAAAGAGGGAAGGGTGGAGAAAGAGAGCAGAAGGAGAGAGGGAGACAGAGAGGAGAGAGAAAGGACAGAAAGAAGAGAAGAAGTGAAAAAGAGAGAAAAAGGGGAAGGAGAGAGAAAGGGGGAGGAGGAGAGAGAGAAAGACGGAGACAGAGAGAAGAGAGGAGGAGAAAAAGAGAGAGAAAGGGGGGAAGAGGAGGAGGGGAGAGAGAGAAAGCCCCACGTCCGGTGGAGGGGGGGAGAGAACGGAGAGATGGGAGGAGGAGGGGTGTAACTGGAGCTGCACACAGGAAGGAAGTCCCATTCAAGAGGATCTGGGACAGTCTTTACAAAAGCGCTCATTTAGAAAGAAAAGACGAGAAGAGAGAGAAAACACGAGGGAGGGAGGGAGAGAGAATAATAACAACAACACGAGTAGTGGAGTAGTAACAAACTATGTAAAGTAACAACCAGTCAAAAAAAAAAAAAAAAAAAGTCCTCAAAAGTCCTCATGATGTTTGGGTGGATGTGTTTCTCATTAGGTTAGCATTAGCATGTTGTAGTTTTTTTAAGTTTTCCCACATTAGACATCTTTGAGTGTCCAAAAAAGGACTATATAAGCTCAGTGTATTATTATTTTTATTATTAGACAAACAAAAATGCGGGCAGGTGGAAAAAATGCAACAAAAACAAACAAAAATGTAAATAAATCAGGTTTATTATTACTTAGCATTAGCATATTGTAGTTTTAGCGTATTAGCCACCAGGGTAACTTTTCCTTCTCACAAATTTATAACATAAAATGTGGGCAGAAGGAAAAAAGGAAACAAGAGTAAACAAAAAGCAACAAAAATAGGTTTATCATCGGTTAGCTTTAGCATGTTGTAGTTTTTCACAGTTTTAGCGCATTAGCCACCATGCTAACCATTCCCCTCTCTTTTCTCTGTTATAGACGAAGCTCGTGGTCAGAAGTGCGGCGTCCTCGTTCACTGTTTGGCCGGGATCAGCCGCTCGGTCACCGTCACTGTGGCGTACCTGATGCAGAAGCTCCACCTCTCCATGAACGACGCCTACGACATCGTCAAAACCAAAAAGTCCAACATTTCGCCCAATTTTAACTTCATGGGACAGCTCCTGGACTTTGAACGCACGCTCGGAGTAAACAGCCCGTGCGACAACCGGATAGCGACGGCCAATCAGCAGCTGTATTTCACCACGCCGACCAATCACAACGTCTTCCAGCTCGACCCCATCCAGTCCACGTGAAACCCGAACCGGAAATTTTGAAATTCGCTGAAAATCTGCAGAAATGTTCACTTTTTGAGTCGTCTGTTGTAACGGCAAATTTGTCGGCAATTTGGGGCGGAGTTTAGTTTGAAAGCCACCACTCGGTTTTCACGAAACTAAACGTAAGAATTTGGAGAAGTTGCTACACGGACATTTTGAGACATTGTTGGGGCGTGCCAAAGACATGCGGACGTTAAATCTCAAAAATCTATTTCTGGACTTTGAAATTTTGGGGTGAAATTCCTCCAAAATCAGACTCATGTCTTCCGTGAAGACTTGCCTCAGCTTTACTTTAGCACCAATGAACTTTTTACCTTAAGTGGAGTGTTTTAATCATTTATACATTGTCTATAAATCATATTATTAGACATTTACGCCTTTGGGGACTTTATATTATTATCTGTGACGATCAGTATGTTCAGATTATTATGCCAAAAATCAAATAGGCTTTCCATAATGCGGTGCAATGCGGAACTTTTCTGATGGACGGTGCGCTTCCCTGATACTTAACACGAAATATTGCTTTGCCTGGAATGTTCCACAGTATGGCATTAAACGTCTGTAACTACATGGACCTCGCTCAAAGCAAGGATTTTTCACGCTTTTTTTCTAGCAATAAAAGCAAGATAGACTGGTTTTATGTCATACTGCGGAACATTCCAGACAAAACAATAACCGTGCATACCCCTTACCGGAAAAGTTACACAGTGCACCTTTATAATTGTGTATTCTGTACTATTATGTAATATATTTGCTTTATATGGACCTTGGTCTATTTGGCATTGGTTCTTTCTTCTTTCACAAATCATGTCAGAAAAGCCTTAATTGTAAACTCAGAAATTTCACACCAAATATTCAGAGATTATTTGAACTTTTGAAAACCTAATTTGAGGTCTTTGGTGCGGATTTCTGGGTTTGAAGTTTTGGATGCGTGGATGACAAAAGCCTTTCAGGGATTATGTCTGATTTTTTGGGAGATTTTGAAAAAGAAAGATTTTGGATGGGTTTTATACGGGCGTCCCCTCACTCTCCTGAATGTAAAAAGATGATAACTTATTAATAAATTGCTATTTTGACTACATACTTTTTCTTGACTCTTTCTCTCATTCTTTGTCTTAAAAATGTGAAAAACAAAACTAGTAGGGGTGAAACGGTATTCAAGTTTCCGATATGGTCACGGTATGAACCTCACGGTATGATATTTATTGCGATATCATGGGAAAGCTCACGATTAGGGATGTAACAATATCCAAATCTCTTACGACATTTACCCAATAGTTTCACAATATACATCTCACGGTACGATATTTATTGCGATATTTTGTGGAGGCCAACAAAACTAAATATCCTACTTTTTCCTCTTAAAATACCTTGACAAGACATAATCCAAAGAACTAAGACTTAAATGTGCTTCTTGTAATCTACACTAAAATGGAGCAAAGGATCATGGTCTATGTAGTTTTACTATAACTCTTAATTTAAGCAAAGACACTTGTAATTCGATATATGAATGGTCCACGATACTGTGAGAACTTTGACGATACGATATCACGATATTTCGGTTATTGTTAAATTCCTAAGAACTAGTTCATTTTAAAGCTCCAAAGTTATTCGTTACTCATTCGCAGCTTTTCACGATCAACTAACATGCTAACTGTGCACTTCCTGATTCTCCAATGATGGGTTCTGTTCACGCTTATGTCACAAAATTGGAAGATGCTCGGAAAAGTGCGGATGACGACTTCCTTTGGGCTCTGTTGGTGAGAGTAACTGGGAAAATGGAGAAAATGGCTCGGTTTTCTTCATCTAGATGTCATTGTATTCTTTCTCTTTTACTTTTATAAATGACCTATTAATCTGTGTATTATAACAGTTCCAACCAGCGGTCTGTAAGTAACATCGAAGAAGCGATTAGATTCCCATTGCCCATGGAAAACTGTGGCGGGTTGTGAAGAAGCTGCTGCTGAATCCACAGTTTTATCACATGCCCAGTGTCGGGAACTACACTGGAAGTCGACATCCGCATGTTTCCAAACGTCTTCCAATCTATAAAATACAACATAATTAGACGCAGACAGTACACATTGGATTTATTTTGACCTCAAGAGCTGCTTATACAATATACCTGTACTAAGACAAGGCATATTTCACTCAAGTACATGAAATCAGGTACAGCAAGTTCTTGGCAGCTGTAGTCCAGAGCCTCAAAAGATAGAATGTTTTCAACACAATAAGAATTTTTCTAGTTCAAAATACTGATACTCTTTCTGATCTATGTTATAATGTTGTTTCCTCATCACTGACATATCGTATCGTGGTCAATCACTCACCAACTTCTTAATGATACCCAGCCCTAAAACACAGAGCCCCAAATCTGACCACATACCAGCTAAGGTTGTCAAAAGTATCGGAAACTAGTATTGAAATTAAATACTCATTTGAGCAGGTATCGATACTGAAAAAGTCACATTCACAGGACAGAAATGAACCTTGCGTGTGCTTTCCTTTCATTCTTCACACTGTGTTCTGTTCCTATTATTACGTCAGGACTGTCTTCAGTGAGACCGGTTTGTCCCTGTCACGGCAGGTCAACGAGTTCAGACCCCGAGCACTTTCTGATGTGGGCGTGTCCACGGAAGTGATTGACAGGTGGAGAGTACCTGTTTAAAGAGACAAATGCAGTTTAAAGGGCTCATATTACGCTATTTTCTGATCTATGTTCTAATGTTTCCTCATTACAAACAGACCTGGAGTTAGAATTGGAGTTTTTGTGTTTCATTCACGCTCTGTTCCACCTTGCGATGTCATGTGGTAATACAGGAAGTGCTCCACTGTGTTTTTAAACTTCATACACCTTCACTAGAATCATTTGGATAATTTCAACCATGGAATTACCAATCTCTGCTGAACTAAAAGTAAAAGCTATCTGAAAACTACCACTATATGACATTACAAGGTGGAACAGAGTATTATAAATATGCGTGAATGAAACAAAACACAACTCCAGGTCTGTTTTTGATGAGATAACAACAGTCTAATGTGACTAAAAGCTCAAACGCTCACATCCGGATCATGTGACACTTCCAGGATTAAATGGAGTCATCTCTCTCTCTCTCTCTCTCTCTCTCATCTCCTCTCTCTCCCTTCATATCTTCTCTCGCTTTTCTCTCTCTCTTCCTCTCTCCCCTCTCACCCGTTCTCACCTCTCCTCCATCCAGATCATTTAACACTTCCAGGTTTAACTGAAGTCTTCTCTCTATCTCTTTCTCTCCTCCTTCTCTCTGTCCCCTGTCTCCTCTCTCTCTCTCCTCTCCTCTCCTCCGTTCTCACCTCTCCTCCATATCATCTGGATAATTTGATACTTCCAGCTTTAACTGAAGTCACTGAAGTCTCTCTCATCTCCTCTCTCTTCTTCCCGTCTCTCTTCGCTCTCTCTCTCCCTCTCCCCCATTCTCTCTCTCTTTCGTTTGTTCTCCCTCTCTACCCACTCTTACCTCTCTCCATATCATCCTGATATTATCCTTTCTCGCCTCTCTCTCTCTTTCTCTCCTTTCTCTCTTCTCCTTTCTCTCTCATCTTCTTTCTCTCTCCTCTCCCTCCCTTGCCTCTCTCTCTCTCTCTCTCTCTCTCTCTCCTCCACTCTCACCTCTCCATTTGGCTCACTTGACACTTCTCTCTCTCTTCCCTCTCCCCTCTCTCTCTCTTCTCTCTCCCTCACTCTCTCTTCTCCTCTGTCTCATTTGACACTTCTCTCTCTCTTTTCTCTCTCTTCCCTCTCCCCCTCTCTCTCTTCCCTCTCCCCTCTCTCTCTCTTCCCTCTCCCTTCTCTCTCCCTCACTCTCTCTTCTCCTCCGTCTCATTTTACACTTCTCTCTCTCTCCTCTCTTCATTCCCTCGCTCTCACCTCTCCTGCATCTCATCCGGCTCATTTGACACTTCCAGGTCTAACAGGAGTTTCCGATCCTCTCTGTGGCCCGGCGCTCCGCACATGCCGCTCTAAAATTAGCATCGGTTAGCTTACGTTAGCTGCATTTAGCTTCCTCTGCCCTTTAGCGCTGAGCCCGGCGACGACAGACACAGGAAGTCCACTTTTAGATCAGGGTCTTGGTGAGGTCCTTCTCGTCCTGGTGGTTTTTGTATTGTTTTTGATGTTTTAACATAATTTAGAATTTGAACAGCCTGTTTTGTCCACGTATTTGAACAAAATGTCTTGCCCCAGTACAGATATATTGTATTTAGACAGACTAAGCCAATGATGTTCATTTTGTCTTCTTATATACTTTAACTTCTTAGGTTCTTTTTAAAGACAGTGCAGTAAAGTGTATTTACCTTGTTGACATGTTTCGGCTGTTGCTGCTGCATCTTCAGAACTGTCACCGGTGTTGGTGGTGACGTGTCGTATATCAGCTGTTGTTACTTCCTGTAGGCGTGGTCAGCCTGATGGACCTGGCAGGTCGCTCAGACTGACCACGCCTCCCGTCGCCCGGTGTTCTTTGGAGGAGGGTGTCCCAGGTGTGTGAAAGGAGGAACGCGCCGTCATCACGGTTAATACTGTCCGTGCCTCGTTTCCTGATTTCAATGGCCTCCTTGATCCAGCGTTTGAACTTGTTGTTTTCCGATCCAATGATCCCGAGCCCCGTCCCAATCCATAATGTGGTTGTTCCTTTTACAGTGCTCTGATATGGCGGAATTTTAGGTTTTCCTGTTCTGCTTTGTCTTTTTGTGTTCTGGTGAGTCTCCCTGACGTTTCCTTTTCGCATTCCTTTTGGTGTTCCTTTTTTCGGATGTGAAATGCCCGTGATATATGACACGTCACCACCAACACCGGTGACAGTTCTGAAGATGGCTTGCATCTAGCAGCCGAAACATGTCAACAAGGTAAATACACTTTACTGCATTGTCTTTAAAAAGAACCTAAGAAGTTAAAATTTTAGACAGACAAGCCGCGGGGTCTTAAAAGTCTTAAAAAGGTCTTAAATTTCATGTTCCTAAATTAAGGCTTTAAAAAGACTTAAATTATGTTGTCCATGTCTTATTTTTTTCACAAAGGTCTTAAATTTCATCAGCCCATTTTTTTGTAACCTCAACCGGGCTGTAGTGCAATGTGAAATGGAGGGAGGAAAAAAAACAACAACAAAAAAACAAAAACGACGTGAAATCATGTAACGTGAATGAATGTCTGATTTGGAGTATGTGCAAACAATACTTAGTGTGTCTTGTTAGAATGTTATAAATATTTTTTTTGTAGCAATGCATACTACATAGTGTCCCTGTCCCTGCAAAAAGAAAAGTTTTATACAAAACCAGTGATGTGTCCCTGTTTTATACAAACAAACAAACAAACAAACAAATGTTCCTGGTGCAGTAGTAGAGTTAGCAATTTGGGGACCCTAGATGAACTTGAGTTTGGGGTCTTCGCTATATTGCACCATTTTTTAAAATGTTTTTATATATATTTATTGTCTGTTTTTGAGACATCCACATCTCTATTTATTTGAATAATGGTGGACTGAAAACTTATCTTATTTAGGTCGCCTACTATTATTTTCTTGCTAATACAATTTAAATGTTTTAATGATTATTGTTTAAAAGTAAACTACTCTCATTTAATGTCATACTGAAGGAAAATCTAATTGCTCTGTGGCCTTGGTCATTAGTGGCACTGAGGGCAATTGGTTCGGGGGCCCCTCCAGGTTTTGGGCCCCTAAGCAACTGCCTACATTGCCTAATGGTAGCGCCGCCTCTGTCCAGGTGTCTGTATTTTTGACCAATCTGATCCAATCCCTGCCAACAATCCCCAACAATAAAGAGAGGCATAAATTGTAATTTTTTTAGGTAACATATAGAAAAGTATACGTAAAAATGACCAAAACACAAAGAAAATGTGACTTTAGTGACTCACATGTTGTAAATAAGTCATGAATGGGCCGAGAGCAGAAGAGTTTTTCTTAATTATGTGCTTGTTTCATAATTTTATTATTACCAGCCACCACAAACAGAGGGTGTCCCAGCTTTTGATTTTGAAAGTCTGGTCACTCTAATTGTTTAAGCAGCTCTTGACATCTCAATAAGTCCACTGTGTG